TAGTAGCACGAATATTACGAGGGAAATTATGGGAAGATGTTTGAATAGCAGTTTGGAATAATGCACCACATCCTTGTGTAGCAATAAAAAGAAATAGATATGAAAGAATAGTAATACCAGAAAATCGGAAACTTACTTGTAAAGCAAATAGTAAATATCCAATAGTACCAAAGATAAATGAAAAAATTAGTGTTCCACGAGGACCAAAATTATCAAATAAGAATCCACTAAGAAGTGAGAAATAAACACCTAGTAGTCCTATAGAAAATAATGTGTTTAATTGAGTAAAAGAATAGCCCATTTGTTCACGCAAATCCATATTATATGCATTCCATGAAAAAATTGAACCACCTACTAACATTAACATAAATCCAGCTATTAAAGTCATTACTCTCCAACACTTAAAATGTTTTAATCTTAAAATAAGATAATATTTATGTCTTAATGAATTCCTTTCTATAACAAGTGGTTGTGCGTTCTTCTTAGACTTCTCCATGAATTATTCTTTAATTTTTGATTTTCCTTAAATTAAATTATATTAAAATAATAATAATATAGGTTTGAGTATTAAGAAAATAAAAATAAGATATTTGAAATGAAAAAATAAAAGTGTTATTAAGAGAATAGTAAAAATAATGAAAAAGAACTACAAAGTGATAGTTTTATAAGTAGTATAGTAAAGTAAACTATAATAAAAAGTAAATAAAAAAATGAAAAAGAAAAAGGAAAACTAAAAAAAACTAAATAACCCTAAGACAATGTCTGCTGGTCTTGCCTTTGAACTTAAATCTACTCTTGAAGGACATAATGGAGCCGTTACTTCTATCGCAGTTGCAGCTACTAAACCAGACGTCCTTGTCTCTGGATCACGTGATAAGACTCTTATGGTATGGAAAGTAGACACTAATTCAGAAGCACAAGCTGAAACTATTCTTCCAACCAAATCACTTCATGGACACAGCCATTTCATTAGTGATCTTGTTCTTTCAAACGATGGACAATTTGCTATTTCATCATCATGGGATCATACTTTAAGACTTTGGGACCTTACTAAAATGGAATCAGTTAGAAGATTTGTTGGACATGAAGGAGATGTTATGTCAGTTGCTTTTTCTGCTGACAATACTAAAATCATTTCAGGTGGACGTGATAAAACAATTAAATTATGGAACACTGTTGGTAAATGTGTTGCATCTGTTAAAACTGATTCACACTCTGAATGGGTTTCATGTGTTAGATTTGTTCCAAATGCTAAAGGAAACAAATTTGTCTCTGCTGGTTGGGATAATCAAGTTAAGACTTGGACTCTTGACCAATCATGCAAATTAGAATCAACTATTACTCATCATACTGGATTCATTAATACTGTTGCTTTCTCACCAGATGGATCAATTATGGCTACTGCTGGTAAAGATGGTAATATTGCTATGTGGACACTCAACAATGGTACTGGACTTTATGAATTCCTTTATGATGTTCCAGTTAACTGCCAAGTTTATCAAATTGTTTTTGCTGAAAATCCAGAACAATACACTCTTCTTGCTGCTACTGAACTTGGAGTTGTTGCTATTAAGGATAAGGAAATTAAGGCATTCACTAAGACTTCAGCTTGTATGTCTATTTGCCTCTCTGCTACTAAAGATGTCATTTTCACTGGACACGTTGATAAGAAGATTAGAATGTGGAAAGTTGGAGTTGCTAGTACCATTAAGACTAGCAATTAAATTTTAAACAAATTGGGGTTTTTTCTATTATTTTAATTTTTTGAGTAGTTTTTTAATTATAATAAATGGTTGTCTTAAAGGATAAAAAAGACGAAAGTTATTATTATTTAAATTTTATTTTAGTAAGTATAAAAGTAATTTTAAAATTATTAGAACAGAACAAAGAAAAGTCATAACAACCAAATCACATGAACAAAGTCCAGATTGATACAATACCATTTCTACAGTCTACAATAAGTTTGTTTGAACCTCCTCAACCAACTTCTTTTCATACAATCTATTATTGTTTGCCTTCTCAATTTATAAAAGAGTTACATGATTGTATCTCGTCTTACTTATCAGAAACTCCTTTTATGAATTCTCTATCCCTTCCTTGTCCAGACTCTATTAGTTCTCTCTATCAAGAGCCATTATGTATTTCTCGTAGAATAGTTAGGTCAGAACTTATTCCTGGTACTGATTATTGTATTATATCTGATGCATTGGCTGACAACCTTCGTGTTTTATATAAGTTGTATTCTTCCTTTAAAATGCCTCATTTACCAAAAGTTGGTGTTCTTTATTTTAATGGAGCTTTGACTTATGAACAAGATTTACCTACATACCAAATTAAACTAATTGGTGTTGGTATTGACTCAACTGAGTTAGCAGTAAAATTGTCTCCTTATACTACTATAGCTGAGACAATTAATTTTATTTTATATAAAATTCACATTCAAGGTCAGTTTGGTTCTATTCAAATGTACTCTTCGACTAATACAACACCATTGAATCCAAATTCATTTCTTCGTTCAGCAAATAGCCAACTCTTTATATTAAAATTCAATAGAAAAAGAAGGGCAAAAACTGTTGCCTTATTACAAATACCAGAACCAAGATTTAAAACGATGAAAGCACATAGAATTGCAAGTCCAGTTCTGAGAGAGTTATGGAGTTGTGAACCTGAAGAAGAACTATAAAGTAGTAATCAAATAAATAAAATAGAATTGTGTTGTACTAAAAAGAATTCAATTATTAAGCTTCTGGTTTTCTTATTTCCATGAAATGTTTAATGACTTCATCGGTCACTTTTTGTCTTTCTATTTGATGGTTCATAACTAATTCTTGTAATTGATGAATTAGAATATTCTTAACATCTTGTGGCATCATTTGAGCATTTTCATAATCGTTTTTAATTTTCTCTAATTGTTGGTCATCATTTAAGAAGAAACGAAGGTATTGATAAGGAACATCATCAGCAACTTTAGTTCCATTTTTCTTAAATTCTTCAATGTCTTGAACACTACAATAAGCATGGTTATTGATTTTAT